TGGGTACGATGACTACTACTACGGCGACGTGGATGCGGACGGCGTTATGGATCGGCTACCACCAAACAGCATTGCACCCAACTACCTGAACTTGTCGGCGCCCCCTTATCCTGCGCTCGCATGGGCACTCGTCGTTGATGATGCCACGTTGGCGTGGACCCTTGAGCCTCGTGGCCAGGCTTCTGTCGGCGCTATCATGTACGGGCTTCTCTGCTGTATCTCCCTCATTTCCGGAGTTCTCGCAGTTGTCATTTTCATGTACTCGTTCTACGGTATCCGCCACAACCGGTACGGTGTGCAGGCGAATTCCGGTGCAAGCAAGTATTTCCCTATCATCGGATCGCTCGGCAACAAGTCGACCGCAGACTTCAAGGAGAGCGTGACGCCCATCACGGAGAAGTTTTTTAGGCAAAAACCGAATGCGGATGTCATAGGATGGCCAGAGGACAAGAACAAGCGGCGCAAGGTCCTCATCGCGACGCTCGAGTATGAGATCATTGACTGGAAACTCAAAGTCAAGATCGGAGGTCTCGGCGTGATGTCATCGCTTATGGGAAAAGCCATGACTGACGTTGACTTGATCTGGGTCATCCCTAAAGTCAAGGATCTGGAATATCCCGCTGGTGTACCTGCGGAGCCTATCGAGGTTATCATCTTCAATGAGCCTTACCTTATCGAAGTGGAGACGCACGTGTTGGACAATATCACCTATGTTATCCTCGACAGCCCCGTTTTCCGTGCACAGACCAAATCGGACCCGTATCCAGCTCGCATGGACGACCTCAGTTCCGCCATCTTCTACTCTACATGGAACCAGGCCATTGCAACTACCATCCGCCGATTCCCCGTCATCGACATATACCACGTCAACGACTATCACGGCGCGCTCGCTCCGATCTACCTCCTGCCCAAAGTAGTACCCGTTTGTCTTTCGCTGCATAATGCCGAGTTCCAGGGTCTATGGCCACTCCGGACAAAGGAAGAAATGAAAGAAGTTTGCTCCGCGTTTAACATTAGCAAAGAGCACTGCACGAAATACGTCCAGTTCGGAAACACGTTTAACCTGCTTCACGCTGCTGCATCGTTTATCAGCGTTCATCAAAAGAGCATTGGTGTCGCTGGAGTGTCGGACAAGTATGGGAAGCGCAGTTGGGCGCGGTATCCTGCGCTATGGACCCTCAAGCATGTTGATTCGCTGCCTAATCCTGATCCGACGGATATTGAAGCTTTGGACGAAAATCCAGTGGCTATGCGTGATGTGCAGGTCGATCAGGCTGCTGAGGCACAGCGTCCAGAGATGAAGAGGCAGGCTCAGGAATGGGCAAATATCAAGCAAGATCCCAACTCTGATCTGTTTGTGTTCGTTGGTCGGTGGTCTAAGCAGAAAGGTGTTGACCTGATTGCGGACGTTATGCCATCGCTGTGAGTGCGTTTGTAGATTCTGCGGGACTCGGTTCTGATGAGACCTCTCACAGCCTTGAGAAACGCCCTTCGATACAGCTGATTTGCGTCGGACCTGTCATTGATCTTTATGGTCGGTTCGCTGCGGAGAAACTTGCTCGGTTGATGGAGATGTACCCTGATCGTGTTTACTCGAAGCCGGAGTTTACGGCGCTACCGCCTTATCTGTTTAGTGGTGCTGATTTCGCTCTGATTCCTTCCCGTGATGAACCATTTGGATTGGTCGCTGTTGAATTCGGGAGGAAAGGTGCCCTTGGTGTTGGTAGTCGACTGGGTGGTCTTGGGTTGATGCCTGGATGGGTGAGTGCTTCGTCTTCTTGGGGGCACGATCTGACGAGATTCCTGGTAGTGGTTCCCTGTAGAATCTACCTCAACGGCCCATATGTTGTCACAGCTTTCGAAGACGATCAAGTTGGCGTTGAAATCCACGGAGGAAGAAAGAGCCATACTTCGTGCTCGGTCAGCTGTTCAGCGTTTCCCAGTCGTCGAATGGCGTCAGCGGATGGAAGACATGCACCGAAGGAGTATAAACGCAAGCCGAAGGCTAGCTGCTTCGAACGCTTGGCGGGAGGCGGACTGCGGGACTGAGCCCTCTCAGCATGTGGTTCCCGAAGCAGAAGATTGGAACCCTGTCAATCAAGGCCTACCTGTTCAACCAGACTGGGATGCCCAGAGCGCCATGTCATCCCCGAGATTGATGCCTAGTTCTCCTGGAAGCCAGGTTTCAACGCCCCATGATGAGAACTTCCTGTCGGCACCACCTCGTTTCAACTTCAACCGCGACTCTTCATATACATCGGATACTTCTGACGAGGAACACTCGCGGCATAGTTTCGCGACTAGTAGTCGGCCTGGATACAGTGACTTTTTGGAGAAAGCGAACAGGACGATTGCACAAGATCATCGACATGCGCCAGATCCTTTCTTGAGTCCGACACCCCCGAGACCATTTGGATCGCATTCTCGGGTGGCCTCGATGGAGTCCATTGGCAGCATCGTGGAAGAAAAGACTAACTCACCGTTGAACAAGGCTATTGCAACGGTGCGTATCTCGAGAATTTTGGTGATCGCCATTATCTCATCCACTTTTTTTAGTTCACGGATTCTGATGGCGGTGTTGCCTCAGAGTTTGTGCAGAAGCTGCAAGCGTTGAACTCGAATAACTCCAAGGGCGAACTCTCTATCGAGAAGTACCTCGTCAAGTCTGAGGAGGCCTTCTTCGAACGTGTGAGACGAGACAAGCTGTCCAGTGCAGCCAGTTACATTTCCTCGCACCGCGAATCTATCTGGAGCATGCCTGGTACTCTTACGATCAACGAGCACTCTACAATGAACGAGCATTCCCGTCCAACATGTAACTGTACCCTTCTTGTGAAGGTGAATTGTCACTGATGCCACCCATTACAGCCCCAAGAACACCTAGCTCTCACCCATTCCAGACAGAGCCGGAATTCGACGGCAACATGGTGGTCATGAACAGAGTCCAAATTGCCATGGCTCGACAAATTGGGGGTTGGCCAGTGTATACTATCATCATTGCTCTCGGCCAGGTAAGACCTTTGATTCTTGATCCTCATTCATGAGCTCACGTTTGTTCTCAAGATGCTTGCTGCAAACAGCTATCAGATGACTTTGCTCACTGGTCAAAACTACCAGGACAACCTCCAGCTATATGTTCTCAGCGCTGTATTCTTAGCTGCATCTTTCGTTTGGTATACGATGTTCCGCTTGAAACCTTCCGTCTACGTTCTTTCTGCACCCTGGGTCTTCTATGGCATAGCATTCTTCTTGATTGGCGTTCCCTCATTGTCATCGAAACTTCAAGGGACTCATACCATCTTATCGGACATCGCCACTTGGTCATATGCTGTTGCTTCTGCTGCTGCTTTCATCTTTTTCGGTTTGAACTTTGGAGAGGAAGCGGTAAGTCATTTATTTGGGTCCTTTTGTATGCAGCTGATTTTTGTGCTTTAGGGTGCCGCCACTGAAACCTGGATACTGCGCGCTTGCATTGTGCAAGGTTCTCAACAGATCTGGGTGGCTGCCCTGTGGTTTTGGGGTAGCACACTGAATACCGCGAAGCCTGGGTCCGTTACGCCTTGGTGGATTGTCTGTATCTTATGGCCGCTCTCAATAATGTCGTTTGCGTTTGCATACTTGATGTTGTACGGACTGCCAGGTAAGTCCCATCTGAGTTCTCAAGCAGGATAATACCAACTACCAAACAGAGTACTACCGACAAACCCCTCCGAAAGTTCCAAACTTTCTCAAAACTCTCTTCCGAAGGAAACTCGTTCTTTGGTTAGACTTTTCTTACTCACGGCGAAGTTGATGATGCTAATATTCCACGCAAGGTTCCTCGCATCTGAAGTCTTGCGTGATTATTGGCTCAGCGGGGTATGTCAGATCCAGTGCTTTGACATCTTTATGTTCTAACATTATTGCAGCCCTACGGTCGCAACTGGAGTTTCCTGTGGAGTGTTCCGATCCCCAAGTGGGCGATCATGCTTCTCATCATCTTCTTTTTCATCGGTGTCTGGGCTTTCATGCTCTATATCCTCACGTCCTTGAGTAAGACGCACACGTGGTTGTTGCCAGTGTTCGCTGTCGGTCTTGGTGCTCCAAGATGGTGTCAGGTATTATCTTGTCAATGTTGCATCAATCTTCAGTCGTCTAACGTGTGTCGCAGACATTGTGGGGCACCTCATCTCTTGCGCTCTATATCCCATGGGCTGGCTCAGGGGGACCGTACCTTGGTCTTTCTCTGTGGCTTTGGCTCGGTGTTTTGGATGCTGTGCAAGGTGTCGGTTTGGGGATGATTCTCCTGCAGACGTTGTCAAGATTGCACGTCTGTGCCACGCTCGCTTTTGCTCAGGTCATTGGGTCCATCTGTGTCATGGCTGCCCGCGCAACTGCACCAAACCGCATCGGTCCAGGGAGCGTGTTCCCTGATGTTGGAACATGGGACTTCTCGCAAGGTCTCAAGGGCAGCCCGATGGCCTCCGCTCCATTCTGGATAGCGTTGATCTGTCAGATTGTCATTGTACTAGGTTATTTCTGGTTCTACCGCAAAGAACAACTAGGTAAGTTATCATGCAACTTGACCGTGGAGATACTCGATGTGGCTAATCACCGTTGCTTCAGCTCGACCATAATTATGCTATTGCTATTCACTGTCATCAATCACGCACATACTAGAACCATCACTCCATTCAAGGACTTTTGTTTTCATGGATACTTTCGTTCACTCGGATCTTTTCGCTGTTGGATTATAGGTGTCATCAAATTTTTGAACTCTGTACTCGCTCGCACATCAGATTGTCGACGGTTCGTCAACTGAAACTCACGTCACATACTCTAGCTCCAGTGCCTCGTACGAGCGCATATATGTACTTCGGATATTTTATAGACTGCGTTTTGGTGTTGTTAAAATCATACGTTGCCAGTTAACACTACATACATAAAAACCTTGCTTGAATATCAGTTCGCCATGACTTACAACTCACAAGTTCTCTCATAGGTGGGCCAAGTCACTTTGGTAAGGTCAAAGGAATATCAATTGAAGCATGTTATGGGCGGCTCATATTTGCGCCCCATGCGATGGGAGTACTGTGGAGGTATCTCTAATAACGAAAGGTACACGGTATGGTAACAATACACGGGTGAAATATGCGAAGATTACTTAGAACCAGCAGAGAATTCTGAAATAATGGTCAGCATCATCACCTATGACTTGAATGAGACGGCACTTACTGGTAACAGATTTAGTACCCTCAGAAATGGCGTGCTTTGCCAGCTCTCCTGGTAAGATAAGGCGAACAGATGTTTGAATCTCACGCGACGAGATCGTCGACTTCTTGGAGTAAGCAGCAAGCTCTGAAGTATACTATAAGGATCTGCCTGGTTTATGGCAAGTGATGGAAACATACTGGATGCCTCGGTAGCAATGCGCTCAAAGATATCATTGACAAACGAGTTCAGAATAGCCATGGCTTTGTTTGAAATACCGGTATCAGGGTGGACCTGCTTGAGGACTTCACAACGAAATCAGCCGTGCATAATTGCTACCACAACCTATGAACGCACCCTTGTAGATGTACGAGCTGTACGTCTCCTTGCGGACCTTTCGGCGCTTCTTCTTCTCACCCTCAGCGGGAGCCTGTGGCTTAGCAGCGGTCTTCTTCGCAGCCTTTGATCCAGAGTCAGCCTTAGCTGGTGCCTTGGAGGCGGTGGATGCAGGGGCTTTGGCAGCAGTGGATGCGGGCTAAGATGGGTCCTTGACTTAACACATAGGAAGCATATGAATCACGAATTAACTCACTTTAGGTGCCATTGTTTTGCTTAATTTACAAACTATACAGGTATGTGACTGTCAATGTGAGTCAGTTTGCATTTTCAGTGCAATATCACAAACGTATACACACCAGGTAGGAGTGGCGGTAGTGGGTGGTGGTTAAGGAAAGAGTGTTGAGGGGACGCGACGTTTATGTGCTGGGCCTTATGAAGGGTTTAATTCAAAGTCCGATCCCGTGAGGGACACCACGTGATTCAACGACCGCGCTTGTCACGCGTCGAGGCACGCGCACACCATCACACCCCACACTTGTCACGCTTCTCCTCACCGCCGCTGAGCTGCATCTTATAGGCGAATGGTAAGTGAGATCTAGTAAACTTGAACAACGCCGTTTATCATCACACCTCTAACCATTGTAGGTTCTCGAGGACGAATTTGTGCGTCACAAAGACCTATACTATGCTGATGGCAGTGTGGTCCTCTTAGCCGCCCATGCTGGGAAAACCCATGCGTTTCGAGTTCACAAGTCTGTGCTCGCATCGCACTCTAAAGTATTTGCGGATATGTTTGTGCTACCCTCTACCGCAGAGAATGAAACGTATGATGGTATAGATTCGGTACAGATGCCAGATGATGCAAAAGATCTTGAAGACCTGCTTCGAGCCCTTTACTACCCGGGGTGAGCACTGTGCTTGTATGGGCCCTCCTGGCTCTTAAGCAAAACGCTTTTAGCACCATACTATCCATGTTGGAGAATAGAAACCCTCTTGCCGCAACCAAATACAAAGGGATTCTCCTGCTATCGCAGAAATATTTCGTGCGCGTCCTGCAGAAGCTGCTCAGGGCTCGTTTCCGGGCAGACTGGCCATCCACCCTCCCTGAATGGGACAGACTCATGGAGCATTACGCCAGTCTTTCTGCATCCATAATACCGCAACATGATGCGGCCAGTCAGTTCATCGACAATCGTATGCTGGAACCTGCTTCTGCCATACGCTTGGCCAGGGAGGCCAATATCCCAGAAATTTTGCCAGCTGCGTTTTATATGCTATCTACCATCAGTCCTTTCATGGACTTTGATAGCCTCCGCAGCCCAAACCCCCCTCCACTCACTGATTCTCAAGGGAACTGTCCTTTTGTGGCAGCCTGGAGAACGTAGCGCTCGATGGGGGCTCTTAACGCCTGATGATTGGCTTTGCCTAGCACGAGGCAGGCATTGTATGACGGACTTCGCTCAGACATTTGAGGCGCAGGAAAGCCAATGCATATGCGACTCGCAGAATTGTATTCAACTCGACAGCAAGAGAAAGCTGTTGAAGGGACCGCCTCAAGATTTCTTACGTGTCTTGAAGGAGATTGGCTCCCAGAAAACACTTCAACAATATCCCTGCTACAATTCCCTGCAGGCGCTGGCGTCCCGCAGTTTGGAAACACGGTCCGTTTTGTGGGACAACCTGGGTTACTACTTCGGTTTACCGGAGGTAGTTGATGATCAGAATGACGGTGACTCTGATGATATTGCACTTGTGGAGAGTGAATTTATAGATGGATGAGGGGTAGATTGCACTGGGCCATTGGCCATTCCGTTTTTCTGTCCGTCGTGCACTACATACATGTTAAACAATACCCTCGCAAACAATGGTTATGGAAGACAGTTGGTTGACCCTGGCAATCAATGGGGATATGCATGCAGATCGCATTGTTCGCCGAGTGCATCAGTGATCATGACACCAAATTCAAATGATACCACTGTATGCGGCTAGATTGCTTGTCAAAAGTAGTTAGTATGGCATAGGTGCCACAACCGGTTCAATGACCAAGAAGGGTATCATTGAAACTATAATTATGCACTTGGTCTCCTAGGTGTTCCCTTCGATGTCTCGTACAAGAAACTCCGGCGCATAATGAGGATACGGGGCTAAAAAGGTGCCCAGTCCATTGAGGACGTCTACCTGGAACTCTTCAAAGGGAACTTGCTCGCCATCCACGACGAGCGTGCCCTTTGGGGCGAGAGGCCTTGCGCGGTAAGCAGAGGCTTTGAAGTACCGGTTCTGTATACCTGGTGAGTCGTACGCACAAATGAAGAATGAGAAAATTACCGTGTTTATCCAGTACGTCCGACCTTCTTCGGCACCGTCCATGGCCCGTAAAAGAGCCCGTCGACTGGTCTTCGAACAAGGTATCAAATGCATCAAAAGAACAAATCATAACGCACTTACTATTTCTTGTATGGATATGTCGATAAGTCCATCATCAGCTAAAGAGACGGGAAATTGCATCAAATCCCTTAGGAGTGGGACTCATGAGTCAATTTTTGATACAGTATACTGCTACTTACCGACTAACGAATGGCCCTTTGCCGGCGTACATCCACAGGATAGGTCTTTTAAACCGGGTCCACTCCTCATGTGAAGAGCTTGGACTATCAGGTTTCTTGTCGGCACTAAACAAGCTAGGAACGCTAGATTGGCTGGGTGATTCGCCCGCTCGTCGTGCATGAAGAACATCCATCATGCGAGATTTGTCCTGTTCGACGACCTTCATTGATAACTCGATCGGACATGATTTGCGGGCAATAACTGAGTTAAAGGAGTCAAGAAGGTGACAGGAGAGGGCAACAATGACTGACTGGCACGGATATAGCCTATGATGAATCGGGTATCGCCCATCCATCGTAAATGTTCAGTGTCAATATCGATGTCTGCCGTTATTCCGATAGTTTGTGACATGAATGATATCCGGCGACGATTTCCTTGGGTGAAGGAAAATAGATCGGTTTTCAATGGTTGTCCTGAATCCCAATATTCAGCGTTTCTAGCGTTTAAGACGACCGGCAGAACATACCTTTGAGAACATTGAGAGCTGCTGCACAAACATCAAGCCCATCCTGCAGACCCAGTAGATTAAGAGACATCCCGTTACCGGAGCCAGTCGGTATAGGTGCTATTGGTATGCAAAATGCCTGGTCACGGTGTTCATGTTGATTTATTCCGTTCAGGACCTCGTGGATCAAACCGTCACCGGATACAATGACCAGGGCATCATATCCCAGCTTCATTTCGCGAGCAATTTCGATAGCATGACCGCCATGGGTGGTGTCTGTATGGCAATACATCAGTGAGAGTGAAGCAAGGATGCCATGAAATTATGACGTGCAAGTTACATCCAATGTACATCCAGCCGCAAGGAATATGGGTTCTACTTTGCTGACGTATGATGCTCTTGCCTTCCCCTGAGAAAGACGGTCATGAAAGCATACAAAGGAGTTTGATGAAGCTGACCTTTCCGCCATAGGGATTAACGAGCACCTTGAGATTCTTGGACGGATTCGCGCCTAGTGAGCCAAATAAGTAGTATACATACCACGCGTTATGAAGTCTGACAAACCCTGATACGCAGCAAGAAGCAGCGCCTCGCACCACTTCTTGACACGCGCGCTATCTTCGTTCTGAACGGCGCCGGTTGTCATTGCAAGTTCCAAACGGCTTTCCTTGCCCTTGCGAACCAGGTATTGTACCTCGATGACGCCAGATGTAACTTTGGCGTAAATGACATTGCGAAGAGGCACCTCTGTGCACTTCACTTCTCTGTCAGCGTATATGCCTGCGCAGCAAGAGGAATTGTGACCGTCGGGCTTTGTAGGTTCGATGAAGAATGACGCCTCGTTAAAACGAAGCGAAGTGGAGAGACCGCGGCTGTCGATTAAAAGATGGTTCATGGAGGTTGACGTAGATAGGGTCCGTGCACGATAAGTGATGATTTAACGGTGGGAAGGAGCGCATGTGTATAAAGCCACCTGTGCTGCGGAAACCGAACTGTCTTATAATATGGTCCGGCTTACTATGCATTCGACTCAAATTCCGAGCTTGGCGGTTTCACGATTCGTACTTCAGGTTTAATTTAAGGTTGATGGCGCACGGAACTCGTTGGCCGCGTTAAATATTCATTTCAGCGCTAATTGCAAATTCAGTGCACGCTACTTTCCTTATGTCCCCTCACCAACGCCGCAACTGGTTCACGGAAGGCTCTTGTTCAATCATCCGGCTATGCGCTGGTCATTCAGTCCTCGCGGAGCCCCTTGGTGGGCCACTTCTGCAAGCTGTCCATTATGGGATGTTCTAGAGCTTCGCGTTGACCTAGAGACTGTTGACACATCTGGGGACCGAGTCTCAGCTGTCGATTCTATTTTTGAAGCACTGGAGAAGTAGGAAGAGGTGGATGTGCTGCGAAGGAGTCAAAGAAATATTGTACCAAGTCACCAATATGCTTGGGAGACGTCAAATTATCAGTGCCCTACTTATCACTGTTCTTGTTCATAGCTTCTCCACGTCACATTCCCCATCCATCACCTCGAACAACATGTGCGATCATCAAGTAACTTATCATAATGCGATGTCTCTCATCACGCAAGACGCATCATATACTGTACTGATGAGGGAAAGGGAGGTCAATCGTATCCTCCATCCGAGTAATCTCGGATCGATCAGCATGTTCCATAGCCCAGTCCATGACGTTCTCAAACTTCCTACATGCATGACGGGTGTTGAAGTTGGGGTAGGCTTGTTTGTGGTTCTTCACCCAGTCCCACGTGATCATCGCAACCTCGGCATGGCACATGATAGACTGCCTGATCAGTTCGATGCAGTCATCTAAGGTAGATGCTATGAGCACGGCGGACGTGTTGGGTAAGGAAGAAAACTTACCAAGATGCATTCGAACTACCGAGGGGTCCCGCTGCAACCAGGGGTCCAACTTGTAATGGTCGGGCCAAGAGGATTTGCGAAGGAAGTTCTACACAATTATCAACAAAACATGACTGGGCTCTACGTGTAGCATAGGCATAATTTACCAGACAACGCATTTGATGATTGACTTCCAACGATGCCATGAAACCTCCACCGCTACTTTGTGGATACTTAACCTTCGCTGGTAGATCTACCTCTCCAGCTTTACGTAGATCATCAATCGTAACCTGGGTTGGTGGCACTGTGATTTCATGTAAGTGAATAACGACCGACAGTACAACATAATAAATTGAATGCCACACCATCGTCAGAAATCCTGGCCCAAGCAGCATCGAGTTCTGGGGAAGGAGGGCCATGATAGTCGGGAGCGTCAAGAGGTCCACTGGGAATACGATAGATAGAAGGGAAAATGATGGTCCCATTGAACCTTGTAATAACAGGCTCAACAGCAACACTTGCTGGAGCTGTAATTGGTCAATATATTGACCATGTAGCACCATCTGACTACTCACAGTATATAGCAAGATGAGCAGAAGGCGTGCTCATCCACAGCGTGAAGGAGGACACGGATGTGACTATAAGCGAACCAATGCTTAACCAAGGCCACAGGTGAAGAATGCGAGATTTGAGATGAGGTTTTGCACCGGGCCTGTCTACGTCACCGAAGATTGTCTCCTCATCAGAAAAGTGTAAAGAATCTTTAGACATGCTGGCTCCCGTGGTTAGCAGCTGCGTCTACTTCCTTCTCTGAGCTGAATACGAGAAGAACGACGTGCAAATGCTTCGCCGTGAGTCCTTGATGTGGAGAGTGAATATTAAACGCTGCAAGAGCTAGTGTTGACTACGCAACAACTTGAAACGTGTAATCAAGGAATCTGACACGCTTGTCGTTAACTACTTACTCACCAAACTAGTTGATTCAATGAAATATGTCGTTTCGATCATCTTTTCTGGGAAGGGGATTTGCTGGCAACTTTGATAGATCCCAGAATCCCCGGATCACAATATCAATTGAAGATGGCTGGCTATACACTCGGATCAATAACTGGATGAGCAAGCCAAATTACCAACTTTCTCACGGCGTCGGCATTGCCGGACCCGCAATGTACTGTTATTTGTTATTTTCGTGGCACCTAGTAGTGTACCGTACGCGTGACTGTGTAGCGCTCGTCCAATAACTGATGCGGCCGCAGCGACCCCAAATGATCTAGGTTGTCTCAGACTCTCCTAGAAGCCATTAATTGTCGGAAATTGAAAGTTCGTGATTCTGATCACACTACTCAATTCCCTGGAGGCTACTAGTAGCAAGGTATTTTCATCTCTGCTCGAAATTGCGACATGCTGAAAGAGTCTAATAGTAATATGACGGTAGTGGCTGTCACTAAACAGACTTTTTCATGATACAAGTTACACAACGTACACTTTACCTCGGGATCAAAGCGTTTTTACCACTAGCGTGACAACCAGGAGCTCCAGAACATAGTAAATTTCAATGCATACTGGGAACATTCTCCCGTCACGTCAACACTGGTGCCTAGGATCTGGTACCGAGATTGACTTCTCGTCATAATGTCGATCTGGAAAGTATGCAATGCCAGCTCATTGAGTTCTGATGACACAGAATAGCGCAAATTTAAGGTTCTTACTTCTGATCCAATCATTGGCACTTCTAGGTCTCCGAGGTCCACAGGCTGTACGTTGCAAACGCTTCAAAGGTTTGTCCTGTGTGTCCGCTCCGAATCCATACCCAACTGATCTTTCTTCTTCCGTACGTTATGGCCAAGGAATATCCTGCTCAGTATTCCCCTGTCAACGAAGCCGATGACGAGGATGCAAACCTTCTACATAGGAGTACAGAAACCAGACCTCATTCAAAGTCTCGCTTCCTTCGCGTATCACTGTGGCTTATACATGGGGTGCTGGTATCCATAACGCTACTCTTCTTCACGCTATGGGCATGGGCACCTTCGAAGGATGACATACTCTTGTTCTGTAGGTGGACAGACGGTATGACAGAAATACCTTCCTGACCCATCACAGCTCCAGTCAACGAGGCCATTGAATCCAAAGGCATTGTGAGATTCAACGGAAGTTGGGATCGTCCTTCGGCATATCGCGGCAGTCCGTCTCCAGATCTCGAAACAGCTTGGAACAAAGTAACTGCCGATGGTTGCATATTGTACTTTACTCCTATCGAGGTGATTACTGATTGACAACCTTTTCAGGGCGGCTAATGTCTATTACGCTCGAAGAGCTACTCAAAATAGGGGAGGAACCTGCCCCATTCATGGCTAGGTATCCGAAAGAGTATGGTGGGGATTATTTGGCGACAGTGGAGGTCATTCACCAGCTTCATTGCATAGTCAGTCGTAACAAAAGGCTGCTCGATCTTTACTTACCTCTTATAGAACATGATTCGCCAATCCACTTGGGGTGACTATTACACAGCAACTGATTCTGACTTTGTCGAATCCCCTGACAGATGGCGCATCCATCTTGGTTAGCATACTGTTACCTCCCTTCCTGCATCCTGCCTGCTAATGTTGTGCATCAGATCACTGCGTCGAAATGCTCAGACAGGTCATAATGTGCCACTCTGATGTAACAATGGTTACTTACGATTGGGTCGAGGGACTCGATGTCCCTTACCCAAACTTCAACATCCCTCATCAATGTAGAGACCTCGAGAAGATCTTGGATTGGGTGGATGATCATCGTATTTATGTCCCTCAATCCCAGATGGTCCGCCAAGAGGACAATGTTGACCTTCCTTTGCCCCCTTAATTGTATTCTCGACCCATAGATGATCCAGAGGGCATGACATTACATCACGAATGTGATTATAAAGACGTATAGAACTGAGTTGCATAGTACTTATAAACTGTCGCACAAGGAACTCACTCTGTTGACAACGGGTGTGAAGAATATTTGTGTCCGCTGATGCAGCCCAAAGCTAGTCTGACATAGGGGATGCAGGGTCCTGAGGCTAGATAGTAATGTCCCGCACAGAGTTTCACTCTCAATGGACCAAAATCGGATACAAAAAAAGGTATGCATTGATATTTAGCTGTACTATTCCCTTGTAAAATATCCCCGTTCGAACGTTCAATATGATACGGCTTCATCATATTAGAGTACGGATAAACAGAGCCATTCGTTTAATGCATAACCAATGGAGTAACACGCTGGCGAGTGCCTATAGAGAGTATTGTTATGCTGACGCGACCGTCGGGTGTGTTTTGCAGGTTCGGCGGCAATCAGAGAACCGGTGAGAATAAGATATTTTTTGTCATACATCGTCATCTATCGAAAGGTTTTCGTTAGACTATCATGCATCATGATGTGACCGCAATTACCATCATCGCCAGCATTCTCCTACGCGGTCCGAATCTCGCTCACCCACAGAGTCAGAATAACAGTCTAACAACCACTAATACGTTCTTCCCAAAAATATTCACACGGTACCCTGTAACAACACTCCACGTAAGTAGACGAGCGCTCAGACACCTTGCGCTCAGGCTACCATAGGCTATTACTCCTAACTTCGCGCCTAGTAAAGGAATGGCGGACTGGTGAGAGAGGGCATTTGTGACTTCAGGTACACAGGGGTCCCCAGATTCAGCATAAACTTGCCAATCATCTCTTTATGGATATGAAAAGGTATACGTTGCAAGTATACCCACAGGGCATGGCCCACAAAACAGGCTATAACCATATGATAGTCTGGGTCCACTGCTTCGGTATGAAAGCAACTAATATCTCCACGTGGCGAGCTGGAGTGGAGCACCAATAGCACTCTGTTCCCAGGCAGCTGACACCCTATTTCATATCGAGAAAGTATGATGATCCAAGATTTGAGGCGGCGACGCGGCGTGCGTTGCATGCGTGATCAAGTATCTACGTGTGACACGTTCGCGTCAAGATCCAAAGCCCCAAAGACTGTGTCACTCACCAGATTACCCGTGAGACGGCACTCTATATAGTTTCAGTCGTCATTGACAAGTCATGGGTTGGCAACCCACTGGCCCGAGGCAGCGTATGTTTCATTGATTGAAATACAAATTGTTCACAACAGAAACCCATTTTCAGAGTTTTTGATTTAATATACAGTTATCATTGGCAGCTCGGGAACGTGCCAGTAGGCCAGCCTGAGGTCCTGTGCGGGCTATACTATATGACTGCCTTGAACATTCGTACTGCACAAACGACAGACGACTCGGAGTGACCTAGTACGCTGAGCCGCTCAATATTATTATGAATTACAAGTCTTGCTAATTCGGCCCTTGGTATAATTTAATGATACCAGTTACTGCTGCTTGTAACACGTTCATTGCGCCGGAACCTGATGGCAACACCATGGCTCGCAAAATTATGTGAATTAGCGATAAATCCCACCTACACCCCAGGGGTGCTAACAACGGCGAGCAAGTTGTGCATAATGTTCCCTATCTATCTTTCTGGCTGATTGCAGTTTCGATCCATCTAGCTCGTGTGTAGCTCCATAAGTGTCACAAAGCACGTCATGTGTTGACTTCTACACTGATACCAATTTAATCAACAATCGAAGGGCAGGATGCATCCTGATAAATTGATTGAATATGGTGCCACGTAGTATTATAGCAAGGTCCGACTGGATAAGCGAACCTACGACAAGGTATAAGAAGGCCCCTAGATTGAGAGGTATGCACTAACGAAGCTCTAAACTTTACTCTTCTCAACTTCAAACATGCAGCGTTCTCTCCTGCTCAATGCACTGGCCTCCATGGTGGCTCTTGCGGTCGCATACCCCATGTCAGGGATTGCGGGACAATCCTGCAAGTATTCGTGACATCAGTAGTATCATAGTTATTAACATAACATGCAGCCGTAGCAAAGCGCGAGGATGAGGCCCGTGGCGTATACTTCCCGAATAACAAGAAGCGCTGCAAGTATTGATGACCGTCAGTTAATACCACGATGCTGACATACCTATTTAGCTGAGGACGACACTCTCGGTGTCTACTTCCCGATTAGCTACGACGATGACAAGAAGCGCTGCAAGTATTCATGGCCGTCAGTTAACACCACAATGCTGACACACTTATTTTAGCTGAGGATGACACCCTCGGGGTCTACTTCCCGATTAGCTACGATGATGACAAGAAGCGCTGTAAGTATTCATGACCGTCAGTTAACACCACAATGCTGACACACCTGTTTAGCTGAGGACGACACCCTCGGGGTCTACTTCCCAATTAGCTACGACGACGACAAGAAGCGCTGCAAGTATTCATGACCGTCACTTGACACCACAATGCTGACACACCTATTTAGCTGAGGACGACACCCTCGGGGTCTACTTCCCAATTAGCTACGATGATGACAAGAAGCGCTGCAAGTATTCATGGCCGTCAGTTAACACCGCAATGCTGACACACCTATTTAGCGGAGGACGACACTCTCGGTGTCTACTTCCCTATTAGCTACGACGACGACAAGAAGCGCTGCAAGTATTGATGACCGTCAGTTAACACCGCAATGCTGACACACTTATTTAGCTGAGGATGACACCCTCGGTGTCTACTTCCCAATTAGCTACGATGATGACAAGAAGCGCTGCAAGTATCCATGGCGTCAATTAACACCACAATGCTGACACACCTATTTAGCTGAGGACGACACTCTCGGTGTCTACTTCCCGATTAGCTATGACGACGACAAGAAGCGCTGCAAGTATCCATGACCGTCACTTGACACCACAATGCTGACACACCTATTTAGCTGAGGACGACACTCTCGGTGTCTACTTCCCTATTAGCTACGACGACGACAAGAAGCGCTGCAAGTATTCATGGCCGTCAGTTAACACCACAATGCTGACACACCTATTTAGCTGAGGACGACACCCTCGGTGTCTACTTCCCGATTAGCTACGATGATGACAAGAAGCGCTGTAAGTATTCATGACCGTCACTTGACACCACAATGCTGACACACCTATTTAGCTGAGGACGACACTCTTGGAGTCTACTTCCCTATTAGCTATGACGACGACAAGTAGCGCTTCGAGCACCAGGAATGTTTTAGTAAGTATTCATGCAGTTAAAAACAATATATTTTTAGTAACATACCAATGCAGTCAAACAATAGATCCGCCTTGGGAACTTGGAGACGCAATGCTAAAGTTAGGGAGAACTGGAAGGTATTCACTATTGTTGAGCAAAGTGGGGCTACTTTTAGATGTTGAGAACATTTACTGCGTTGAATTTGACAATGCGTTGAGCATCATGCATCATAATAGAATCGCCATGAGATTGCATCACCTTGTGACACAAGGTCACTATCATATCGCCCTATAATTGTCCTTTTTCAAGAATCAAATTTACCTCGAAGACCCTGTGTCGGACGTACTTAACCTGAAGCTTAAAGCGTAGCCAAAAATTGGCAGTGCGGCGCCTGAGGGTGGCCAGCACACAGCCGGAATCGTACGTGTCGCTTCGATTCGAGGGGAGGCTCAAAGCAGGGAGAGTGGGTCACCGTTGCTGCGAAGGAGTTAAGGACTGCAAGCTAGTATGTAGCTAGCGACACGCTTGAGCGGTGAAATCAATGGTTGTTGAACTATAAATCCGCTAGTTGTGCCAAGTCCTGGCTGGCTGGCACTAGAGGAAGGGCAGTGCAAGTATGGAAGGGGATGATTGATGAGCAACTCAGCTCACGGTGGCTTCTTCTAGCAACGTACATTGGCTAGCGAGTGGTGTTCAAGTTGAAACCTCAATTGAGCTCCATCAGACATCCAACCACGAAATTATATTGGTATACAAAAAATTATAATAAGCAAAATCGCTATAATAAGTACAATAATGATAAGTCACATTGTGAAGCCTTACATGGTAGGATAGACAAGGTAGGACTCGCCATCTATGTAAGGATGAGGCATTAATAGATTGAATTGCCAACATATACCTAGCCTTGTAATTGTGACCATTTATTAGCCATAGTCCCTTAAATTATAATGGATGCTTGCCCTGACAGAACTCACAAATATCACCATAATGGCAGGGATTATGCAGGAGTATCTGCATGGCAAGAAAGTTAAGTGTTACAATCATGATGCTCCGTCAACTTTTAGTATCTTCGATTATAATGGACGCTTGCCCTGACAGAGCTCACAAGCATCACCATGATGGCAGGGATTGCACGGGAGTGCTATCTGCATGACAAGTGTCACAATCATGATGCTCTATCAACTTTTAGTGTCTAAGTATATAATGGATGCCTGCTTTTATGAAAGGCACAAATGAATATCAGAAAGACACCTCTCATAAAGGTGTGTCCAATGGGTATCATTCTTACAAGTATCGGCTACAAACGAACTTGTTGGACTTGTGACCAGTAAAGTAATAGCTGGGTACTATTGGAGCAAGAATATCACAATGATGTATGCTAGAAAGGCAGACCGTGTAGTCAATCATTGTAACATGACCAGCTTGATTGTCACCGTAGGTAAAACATACAAAAATGAGCTGATATTATCACTGAGTTTTAGTCCGAAGGCTAGGTATAATCTTGGCGTCGCAAGATACTCACACACAAGGTTTGGATCATTGAATATAAATTCTTTGGTGAGTATAATCGACTAACTTGTGCTAACTGTATACTACGCATTGCCACTACCACCATCAGTGACCGAAGCCTCTTTTATTTGCGCTCGCTTCTCCCGAATCCTCGCCAGCACACTATTCTTGACCAGAGGACGTTGAGCGGTCGAGTATGAAGGGAAGATTTGCCTATAACACATGAGGATAAGCAAAGCGGAAAAAGGTATCCATCACCTGTTCCACCATACAGCAAGATCATCTACCTCTTGTTTTTCATCCGGGTCTTCGAAAATATCCAAGATGGAGTTGTAAAACCTTTCGGAGTCTGTGACTGTGTCGGTACGCGAGAAAACAGGTGATGATGTGAGGGAGAATCGGACCTGGAAAGAAAGTTCACTGAGTAGAAATGTACAGAGTTGAAGTGTAGACACACCTGAGTTGCAATGTATGCGATGGAGGGCAGAGTAATTCGGGTCATCCCATGAATACGAGCATTGCCTGAGCGAGTTGCCTTTGGCTCTCTGTCTACAGAGCTGGGGGACGTGAATACATGTTTATATGCCTGTAGGTAGAGCTCAGCGCAGAGAATTTCGGACTCAGTGATACAGAGCTTATATCTTACGCAGACCAACAAAGCGCTTCGAAACAGGCCATTCCACGGATCCTCGGAATCATAATGGTAGTCAGCATACAAGAACAGCGGCCACTGGTCTCCCGTTACGATAATCTCGCCACTTTGTAGCTTAGCTTTTGTCCTGCGTGCCATCAGTATGGATGCCAAGTAAACAGACAAGTAGTAAGATACCACCTACTCTGAGTGAGACCAGTCCAGGCCAGCAGGACAGAGTAACGCACCCGTCCGTTCATGATGAAAACCGCGGTCAATTTTCATGTTTCGAGCGAGAGGAGGAACCAGATTCTGTCCCTTGGGGGTAATCCAATCAAGCACACTGCCTTTGAGGCTTTTGGTGTCATCACCCCTTGCTCCAGAGGCGCCCTTGGTGAGCTGATGGGGATGTGAGATACAGAGTTAACTTTGAAGACATAGGAAAACGAAATAGTACTTACCAGCTCTGCAATGACATCAACCTCATCATCTCCGCCTTGCATCAAGCGCTCTTCCAGGCCTGCCACAGACTTGAGGAGCTCTTGAAAAATACGATGCTCGCGCCGTTCCCTGTACATGTGATTAAATATGTAACACGTAACTCTATAAAAAAGTGATATACTCAGCGGTAAAGTTTTCTTCTGGAGTCTCGGCCAATTCTCCCATTCGTAAAATTCCATTTGTGAGGAGGGCTTGGAAGTTGCAAAGAGCGTGTACTGTTCGTCCGAAATGACGACCATAGTGTACCAATGGATCAGCTGCACTCCTGTATAATGATTGCAATGGTCAGCAGCAATGGCTATCCGAAGTCACTCACGGCCTTTTCCTAGGACCGAGTTGAAGGGCATCAACAGGTTGTTTGCGACGTTGGCCGCAGGACTGTTGATCTTCGGTCATAACAGGTGCAATGGTTGGAGGCAGGACAAGAAATACTGACAGTTCCCATTCGGAGGGCAGTCGATTTTAAACGCGAGTCCGCTATGGTCACGTTCGGTGCAATTTGAGTGACTTGAACCTCTGTTTTGGGAATTCAAGTATGGCGAACTCGTTAGTAAGCCGTATTAGACTGTCAGACGGTGAATTGTGACACGGTGGTGAATGTGATGCGGTGGTGAATGTGACGCAGTGGTGAATGTGACGTGACTTACGAACGTTCCAACTTGAATTGATAGTAGCCGTGGCGGTTGAACCTGCCCGACCTCAGGCTTATTGGACCTGGGAAGGATTTAGAAATGGCTATAAGGATAATCCGAGTCCCTGAGATCGCTAACTCGGACCAACGCCTTGCACTGCGATATGGCCACTGCTTGAGTACTTACTGGAGCGTCTGCAGGGTTGAAGTTACCGTGACTTCAAAGGCACACCCACACCAGAATGGAGAATGCAGCCAACCGCCAAAACATGAAGTAGTGTACCAGAGACATGCATTTGTGCCAACTGACCTACTAGTTTTCGTAGTCAAGGGTATCATACTGGTCCGAATCACTATCAGTGTCACGCTCTTCTGAGTTGGAGTCATCTGAAGCAGACCCCCAGTCCGAGTCAGAAGCTTCACCACCTGGGTCCGAGTTAGAGGCAGTGCAACCGTCTTGGCCACTGCTCAACGCATCTTCTTCAAAGTCCTCAAAACACTCTACAGCAACCGCATTATCTTCTTCTTGACCGCCGGCACCATGAGCATAGGTATGCCCAACTCCCAGCCCCCATTGATACCGCATGAATGAGTCCCGGTCTACAAAACTAGGTCATAAAGTCAGCGCAACTCCATCAGTAGTCACAATTGATGCACCGATTTATATAGTAGAATTTCCAGTCCAACTTATCCTGAGCACAGTGGGAGATACCCCTACCATCCAAGTGCTGCAAGCCTTGCTCGAAGTGTGGAATGACATGGCAGCACCTAAGAACGTCATCAGGGTCCACAAACCCAAATGAGTCTTGCTCTGCCATAGGCGGGAAGCAAACACGATCTAAAGGTGCTTGCCGGTCGGCCTGGGAGTGTTTGCCAAGGTATTGATACCAGCGCACCCACAGAAAGTCAATTCGATGTGAGTGATAGTTAACCATCCCAGGGCCAATATAAGTGGCATTGACATGATATATGCCGAGTACACGAGCATAGATATAAGGATGACTTTCACCGGTAGTTGAGCCCTCGCTAGCTTGGTCGAGGAGCATGACATTACAATGAGATGTCGATGGATTGATGACATCCTGCGCTCGGCGAACGTCATATGTAGTGTAGTTGAGGCGCATCAAGTTGTGCCTATACATGCGATCGGCCTTGATAAAAACACGTCCCTCCCAGTCCGAGCACACTGGGGTAGCTCCTGGGATTGCAGCTGGAGTGGGACCGTCAGTATACAAAAGGCTACCCTCTCTGGTGATCGAGTCCTGGATCTTAGTAAGGAGAAAATGCTGAAGCTTAGGTACAAAACCCTATCACGGTTGCTCGGAATCAGCACCGGGCTGTATAAGAGGTATGTGGTACTTACTTTGATAGCGGGGTCCCCCGCGTGCCTTTGAAGGAACAGAGGAATGTTCTCAGGATAGTTTTGAGATTTCCCGACATGGAAATGAGCCTCAGGCGATGTAGCAACTTCTTCCTCCATCACCGTACCCTGTGGCGACTGCTTGTCACGGATGCTGAGTATGCGAGCCTCGCGCCGTTCAATCCTGGCTATCTGCTTCACAAACTCTTTTCGGTCCGTTCGACGGTACCTTGCTTTGGAGGTGCGGTGTTCTAGCTCTCCCTATATTTTGAAATAAATTATCTACATGGCAGAGGATACCATCAAAATGCCTTCACTCACTGGTTCAGTGCTATATGAGTCGGTTGTACCAAAGTTGCGTATGGAGGTAGAATAGTCACCCAGGGCGTGTAGCTTGTAGGTTTGTAGATTGAACGTCTTTTGTCTTCGAGCGGTATGAGGCTTTGACCCCGTTGCCTCTCCGTTTCCAGCCAGGCTCCTTAACTGCTGGCGTTGTCGACGTTCTGCTTCCCGCTTTAGTTCGCGAGTATCGAAAGCTGCGCAGGTATGTTTCTGGAAATGGCGAAGTTGCTTTCCCAGCGTAACCGTTTCAGCATCCAGGAGATTGAGCGTCTCCTCTGTATGCATGCGCAGCTTTGCCAAGGCATGCCAGCTTGCACAAGTAGTGAGCAGAACTAAGATACTGGTGTTGTGTGGCTCTGGGAGAAGGCCATCAAAGGCCGGGATAGCGCACTGATTATATACTTATGTATAAGTTGAGTGCGGTTAAAAAGAACGTGAAGCCTTACCTGAAGAATATCTTCGAAGTCGCGAGCAGCCATCTTCTTCATTTCAGATGTATTTGAAGCAAACTTTCGAATGGTATCGTGGCCGAAGGTGGGGATGAGTCTGTAACTTAAGGGCTCCATTAGTCAGAGCAGGTCAGCCTTCTTGGACAAAACTAACCGACGATCAAGCTCGTGTACCAATCTATCGCCCTTGAGAGCAGCTCCGAGAATGCGTATCAGGTGGGTAAACAGGGCTTTCCAGACCCCAAGCTCAAACTCATGCAGGAGATCTACAACCAGCATAGCAAACAGATTAAAGCCGAGGCACCCGAGCCTCTCCGAAAATGCATTCTGAAAGGTAGTTGTTATCGACCGTCATACACGAAAGAGTTTAATAGCGATAAGTTCAACGTACAGAGGTTGGCACCAATGAGTGCTCTTTCAGTAGGTTTTCAACACAATTGCTGCGGATGCCATAGCCACTATCGTAGATGAGTGAACGCGAGGTGGAGACTTCACTTCGCCGGATATCGTCGTCTATGCGTAAGAGGGTTTGGCGTTGTTTCATGTCCAGCCGCATGCCCAAATTTTGAACGCGGGATTTCGGGATGAGGCATCGAGGGCAAGGGCACCCGCCCAGAGTCCGTATCGTAGCTATTAACGCTCTGATAACGAGATGTGTAGTAAATTTAGTTGATTGGCCCTCTAGGTACCGTAACGGAGCTTGACTCACTTTTCTGGATAGTCGGCAGAATAAGTAAAGATCTGAGGGTAAAAACGACGCTCAACCCCATCACAACAGCGTATGACAATTCCATGCTTGCACGCTTCCACAAACTCGTCGTCTAGCAGGACCTTCCATTGTGCATGATAAAGTTCGCGATGGCAATGTGCCATAAAGTCAGCACTGGGACCTTTTCCACCGAAGTGCTTAACGGCAAAATCCTTGAAACTATCTGGAAGCTTGACCGCAAGTATGTGTGAGTATGAAGAAAGCACTAGGAAGCACGTAGGTACCTACATGGTTGAAATAGGCCACATGACTACATAGACGGCAAGAAGGCTTACACCTTCGGTACTTAGACTCATTCCCAAAGAACATATAGCACGGCCAAAGTTTGGAATTGCCGAATGAGGCTAGATGGGTCGAGTCCGACCAAAACATGAGAGCAAGAACCACTCGCTCTCGATCACACCCAAGCTCAGGTGGGGACTCTTGGAGTTCACGGTGTGCCTGAATAAAGGCATCAGAGGTATACAGTTCTCCATGGATGCGGGTGGGTCTCTCAGATTTTCCGCGATCCCAGAGCAATTCGTAGGGCTGATAATGGAACAGGTCGTCGTGCCTTTCGTTAGCAAGCTTTTCCTGGATGACAGATAAGAGTGATCGATGATGTAATTCTGCTGTAAGGTAGTCGTGAACGCCTGGATTATCCGAACGATTATGAATGGGTATCTTGATGTTGATCGCGGTCTTCTTCCACCCCGCACCTTCCAAAGGCACCCATCCCTCTGCCTCTTCTTTATTAGATCCAAGTTGATCATTGATCGAGTTCCAGCGCGTGGCACGTACATCTTCCTGTCGAAATTCAGTATCGCCGATGATCCGCAATAGTTCCCTGAAGCTTTTTTGTGATTTCTGCAGGCCTCCGTTCCAAAACCAGTCGCCGAGGAGAAATGACGATTTGTTGGGATATGGGTAGAAGGCATCTGGGCCGTTGCTACAGTCACCCCGCGTTGCAGGAGCAGGGATACTGAGATCCTGACTTTCATGGTTTGAATGGGTCAGAGTGAGGTGTTCCAGAGTTGTGACCGCTTCTGGGTCGTGGGTCGGCAGACAGGCACCGTAATACTGACGTGAAAGTCCGAATAAGTTTGGAAGTGTGCGAAAGAAAGAAAGTGACCGTGACAGCAGTGTGTTTGCAGCCAAAGCAAGAGGGGGATCTGCAGCTGGCGATGGGGCTGGCTCAGCTGTAGGCGGTGGTGGTGGCTGAGGAAGAACGTCTCGAAACCGTGCAGGAAGACGACGATTGAGGCGTCTTGGACGACGCTCGGCAAGTGACAGCGTGTCATCGACTGCATGATGCAAAGATTCTGAAAGACTGGACCCATCCTAAAGAAGTGATTGAGCATCAACAGCACGAATCATTATTGATATCGAGATTCACCTTGCATTCCTCGAAAGTTGCATGCCCAGAACTGAATTCTGATGTGACGAAAGAACGCTCCAACTGTGGGGGCTCCTGGCCTTCTCCTGCTGGAGATACTATGCCAATGCTAGTTGCTGCATCTGGGACCCGTGTTGCAGGAGCAACAGACCCAAGGTGTTCACCACGTCCAACTTCTCTACATGGCCTTTTTCGTGTCGTCCATACATCCTTGGCCTTTGCTAGCGCATTTGAAAGGTATTTCTTCCGCTTTTTACAAGTTCTCTGGTGGTTTGCATATGCGTTTAGTTGAGCAAAGCTTCTTCCACAGGTACAAATACTAGTTGAATATTGCGCCAGACCAGCGGCAGTTGGAAATGATTCATCCATGGTCGTGACCGGCGGTAAAGCAGGGAGCGATTAGGTTGTGACTGAACCTGGCATGAAGACACTATTGAAACCGGCGGTCACGGTAAAACTAAGTAGTAGTAGTACTGCAGTCAAATCTGCCGTCACTTCGGCACCTAGTTAGTGTACATGAGTTCACCGACTCGGACCGTGATGCCGCTTACTGGCAGAAAAGCTTCAAGTTACTGACATAAATGGTATGGCCTCTTCCGTACTCTCTGAAAGTTTCAATTAGGAAACTGACAAGAACTACTACTAATCAGCGCACATGAAAGGCGCAGAATTACGTAGTTTAGTAAAAGCTGGCGCAAGCGGGCGCACTGTGACTCACTCAGAAATCGCAGTATAAAGTCTGAGAACTGCTGGCAGGTCAATTGCACCCCTTGAAGTTGAACCCTTTCAAGTTAGCATACCCGGGTACTCGGATGCCTCCCGATTGCACAAGTCGGGTCAGAGCTGCAGTCAATGGACTTCATCGAGAACGTCAACGAGCCAAGCTTGCAGCCCAAGTCAGCAACAGGACAAATGCTGTGCTTGAGCTAGATGAGACCGGAGAAACCCTGTGCATATGGTATTGGTGAGTGCTAAAGGCTGACGCAAACATTAGTATCTCGCTGTCTTACCTACGTTTCTGCGATCCAGGCCAGTTCAAGATGATGGAGGGCGTGTCGTGCCTTCTGAACTTGTAGCGCACCGTAATTCTCATCAATTCCGAGGACCACACTGTCTATGTGCATTCGTAGATAACTGCTATCCTCCCGGCCACTGTGAAGCGGCAATAGTTATGTTAACAAGGGGACAAAATGCAGGAGAGTACCTAGCCTGCTGCGCATTGAGCAAATGCGGTTATGTTGGTAAGTCTGCATAGCTACAATTTGTTGATCAATCTGAAGGACCAATGCGACTGCAACTCTACGTGCAGTTTTCATGGATCAGATGCACATTTCACCTGGGTTACCCATCAGACGCTATCCAAAACGAAGTGAGCTATTTCTGTCATGGTGGCAGCGGTCAGTCACGTCATCAATCTAACATGCCTTGTAACACAGGCTCTGATCAACCCAGATGGAGAGAAGTCGCCTTTCTCGATGGGAATGGTAAGCGCACCGGAAAGAGACTTTCTTGGATAACTGATTGATACCTATTTGTTTACAGACATCAAACTAGTAGACGTCATGCAAAGGCGCCAGCTTCGACAAGATGAAACTCACAAAACCTTCGACAGGCTTCTAAGACTGGATTCCTTTTCTCGGCCCGGCCTCACAGAAGAGGAATTCCGCCATTTTCTTACACGGTGTTACGGTTGTGAACTCATCATGACTAGGCGGATATTTGAACGGCACACTTGTTTAGGAAAGGTCGAGATGGGAGAGGTCGAGATCATTGATCTAACTACAGAAGATGATTAGCAACTAGACCACGACGTTAGTGTGTCTATGATCTTGTACATCAATTATCCACCTTCAATATCCGCACGATTGGCTTAAGTTATTCTGAGTCGAAGACAAACCTTGGTCAAGAACTACATAAAAATTCGACCATTGTACCTCGCCCTCTGCACAAGTGCTAGGAGTCCAGTCACTGCAAATAATATATGTCAAAAACTGAGTACTTCAAGAAGGGAACAAAGGAGCAATCCATACGACACATGTATGTAGTATGTACATATATTCAGTACCTGGTAATATATATGTATATATATAAGCGCTTGGTAGTATGTACAGTGATGGGAGCACTAACGAAAAGATCTCAAGAGGATGGCTCTAGGTCTGACTCTGGGTCTGACTCATGCAACACACTCGAGGCGTCACTATCTCCCTCATAAGTGTTGCCCGCGGGTGTCAAGCCAGACGAACGAAGCACACCGCTGTAGAAACAACAATACTGAGAGGAACAAAGAAATGCTCCTGACTGTATCTAAAAAGTTGTAGGTCGTGCGTTGCCTAGTCTGCGATACTTGAGATGGCAAGTGCATTCGACCCTAAAGGGGAAGCAGGTGCAGCGGAGATCTAGAGGTACGCGCTTCAGCGAAGCGCGAGAAAGCGCAGGTGCGCGCAAGGTACGAAGGCGCAGGAACGCGCGCGCGTATTAGCGCGAAGCGCGGGAAAGCGCGCGTGTGTAAGCGGAAATAAGAGAGACTAAACTTATGTGAAGATATAAGCAAGATAAAGGATGTGAGATGTGTTGTGCTAATGAATAGATTTCTACTGCGACTTTCTAAGTAGTAAGTACTAGGTAAAGTTGGGTGAAAAGTAAGGTAAATAATAGTATGTACTGCTGGCGCTTATATAGCGTGCCTAAGCGCGCTCATGCGGAGCCGAAGCGCTACCGAGTAGGTATGTAAAAATATATATGAGTGAGAAACTATGATAAAAATAAAGGTGGAACTATGCTAATAAAGGAAATGGAAATATACGCACTAGGGAGCTTGGTGGACAGTGGATGGATGCATCTGGATGGCTGGCGCTATAGGGCGCGCAAGCGCGGGAACGCGCGCGTGCGTATACATCGTGAAGCGCGGGAATGGTGCGCGCATGGCGCGCGTTGCGCGGGAAAGCTGCGCGTCATATAGGAATCACTGTGGATGGTACACAGAGTGATGCTGCGAGTTGGTGCTGTATACTCCCTAGTGTAAAGCGCCATATCACACTATGAGATGCACGAGTCTCTACATCTCCCAGGGACTTAAATTCTGAGTGTCCCCACTCAGCGCGCGCATGGTGAGGATTTTGCGTGATAGTATGTGTGCGCAATGCCTGTATGATGCTTGGGTCATTGGGCGATGAATGCGCAAGTGCAGGAATTATTGCGTGGATGTGCGTGAAGCGCAGGAAGTTGCGCATATGGTACGCGCGAGGCGCGAGAATGTGCGCGCGCTATGCGTGAAGGCGCGGGAATGAAGCGTAGCATGGTGGGTTGCGAGGGTGACTCTGGTGTGAATAGTGCGCCATGGGTGTGGGGTGATGATGCAAGGGTGATATGGATGTGGCGCGCGAAGCATGAGCGAGACGCGCATGTACAGCGTGAAGCGCGGGAAAGCGCGCGCGCACAAGGCGCAAGAAAGCGAGTGAGTGTCGCGTGTGTTGTATTGTGCATATGATGCGAAGTGGTGCGGTCCAAGAGCGATCCAATCCAAGTCCAAACCAAGTCCTGCTAGGCGCGCTAAATATTAGGTGGTAAGGTTTGAACAGTGTGAGTAAAACTATATGTGAAAATGCGAAGGAAAAAATGGTAAACTTTGCGGATGTCCTATCCGACTCGTCTTCTTCGTGCGGCTGTCGACATCTACACCTTCCTATGAGCGAGGCGCGGGAAGCGCACACGCGCGCGCATGAGGCGCATGGGCGCGGGAATATTGCGCGCATATGCGTGCGTTCTAAGGTAAAAAGAGCATGGTGCCGCGTCATGCATGCGAAGAGAAAATAATACTATTGAGCTAGGCGGACACAATCTAAGGTTGTTTTCTTGTATGTTCTTCTAGGCAATCCCTATATGCATATATATCAGTGAGTTATTAGTCCTTGGGACGGCATTATAATGAGAGAAACAAAAATGAAAGCGCGCTGGACGAAACCCAGGGTAAAATGAATGATATCCTATGAAACAACAATGTTATATGTTGTTCTTTGATGCGCGGCTGAGGCGCTTGATCCTCCTCCTTGAGCGCGTGCGAGTGCGCGTGACTAGCGCGCTTCGCGTCTCTTGCGAGCTGACGCTTTACTCAAGGTAGGGTTGGAATGAGCGAGGCTGGCGCGCTTGGGGGGGCTTGTAACTGGCAGAATGAATTCCTGCACAACGCGCTGCAGGTTGAAGGCGCGCCAATGGGAGGCGCTGCAAGGGGTGTAGGGGCGCCCTACAAGCTGATAGGATGCGCGCGATGTGCGCGCCTTGGTGCGATTTCGCGCGAATTTAATTATATTGGCCGAACACGCGAGGAACGGCCATTTCTCTGCAAATGCATTAGCGAGAGACATGTATAGTGAAGAATTAGGCGCAAATGTTGCGCCAATGGGCTGTAAGGGTGGTATATCAAGGCGCAATAGGCGCATAGGTGAAGGAGAATAGTGCGCATCAAGGCGCGCAGGAATGAAATTGACATGGTAAGCAAAAGCGCGCAGAATGTGAATAAATGTGGGAAGTGCAAAGTTAAAGATGATGATAGGGGAGTTAGGCGCATATGTATGTGTCAGGCGCGCGCCTAAGTCGCGCCTGGATGGCTGATTGAAATATACTTTGTGTTGAATGATAGAAATGCGGTTTAGAAGGGGAGAAGCGATAGAAATGCGGTAGCGTGAAAACTCTGCTAAAATTATGAGTGCGCGAGGCGCGGGAACGCGCGCACATATTGCGCGATGCGCGTGATCATGGCGCGTGAATAAGGGGTGGTGCAAAGATGAAGTTACAGTGATTGGAAGCATCATATAGCTCCTTAAGAGCTTTAAACATGAAAGAGACAGAAAACGCGAAACAAGATGAGGAAAAATATACAATGCCTCTAGGCGCGTGCATTGCGCGTCCTCAGGCGCAATATGGTGCGCCTGAGTTGCGCCAGGGTCGCCTGAGACATGCTCTGCTTGGTGGTTGTGCAGCGTGATGCACGGATGTTTTACCGGTGCGCGATAGTCACTGGAAGCAAAAAGCGCGACATGCGTGCAATCGTTAGTGACAATTGGAGTTACCAGAGGCAAACTCTGGTTGATGCAAGGTGCAACTTGAGCCTCTGATGCGGTAGGAGGCTCCTCTATAGGCGCGCTAAGGTGCAATAGATGTTTAGGGTCATCCCTGACCTCTAATGATGCGAGCAGTGATGGTGATGGTGCGATTGGCGAGGTTTCTTCCTTAAGCGATGCGATAGCGAGGGGCGAGCGTGTTTCTAGCGGTGCATTAGTGTGCAATAGATGTTTAGAGTCATCCCTGACTGCTGGCGAGGTGATAGCAATAGGCGCGTGCGATGCGATAGCGATAGACACGCGCGATGCGATAGCAATAGGCGCGCGTGTTTCAACTGGCGTGTTAGTGTGCAATAGATGTTTAGAGTCATCCCTGACTAGCGATGCGATTGGTGATGATGGAGATTGCGAAGGAGATGATGCTGATGGTGAAGGTGAAGAGGCACCTGCGGTGTGCTTCTGGTTGCGCTTAGCAAGCGCGCGCTCGAGTTCGTGATCTAAAGTGGTGCATTCTGGTATGGCTTTGCATGCTGGTGCAGTTAATGGTTGAGGTGCGCGTGATTCGCGCGAAGGCGTGGGAAAGGTGCGCGCGTGAGGCGCGTGAATAGGAACTGGTGGCCTTTTGTCAAGTACAGCTTCTGAGGGTGCGCAATAGAAGAGTCCAGCTGTTGCGTTAGCGCTAATGGTCGTATCCTGCGTTGCGCGACTCGCGTGGTATTGATCTTTGTACTTAGCCACTTTAGCTTGCACTGGCACAGTTGCTGTGACTAAGGTGGCAATTGGTGCTACTATGGGCGCGCTAACTGGCGCGCTTGGCGCGGGAAAAGCGCGCACAGGTAATAGGAACTGCGCAGCTGCGAAGACGTCCATGAATGGGTATGGGTCGTATGGGTGGTGGTCAGGGAACTTGATCATAAGGCGCAAGCGGATTTGCGCCTGAGCATCGCTAGGGATTCCTTCCATGAATAAGTGGTCGCGTTCGGCCTTTCCAATACGGTCTTCGTCCATGAGTGGCTGCATAATCTTCCTGAATGCGCGCAGGTAATTGCTTAATTCTGTGCAAGAGGGCATTGGTTTGTTAGCGTATTCGCGCGCGATGGCGCGCAAGTCCGCGAGCGCATAGCGTCTTTTACCATCCCATCCAGGATACATTACCTTTACCTCGTCTAAGAAGGCGTCGTAATCGCTTACTTGCGCCTCAGGCATTCCGCCCCATAGTTCTCGATCGTCGCGCTCAAGGTAGCGGATAATACCTTTGATGCGGTCGAGTCCTTGGAGTCCTGCATCATCAGCGAGCTGCTCATAGGTGTCAATAAACTCGGCAAGGTTGTCTGTAGTGCCATCAAACTTGGGCGCGTTTGCTGTGCCGCGGATGGGCATTCTGAAGGGCATTGAAGTGCGTGAAAGGTGCGCGCGCAAGGCGCACAGGGGTGGGAAAGCGCGAGAATGCGTGACTAGAAATTGGTTAGCTTTTGAATATGCAAAGAGATTGACCTTTATGCGTTAAATAGTGTGAAGTGCGAGAAAGGTGCGCGCGCGAGGCGCACAGGCGTGGGAATATTGCGCGCGCGCAAGGCGCGAGAATGCGTGACTAGAAAATGATTAGCTTTTGAAATGCAAAGATATTGACCTGTATGCGCGAAATGCGCGGAACTAGATCTTGCTGACTGCTCCCCTCGCGGTGGGCTCCAGTTGTAGAAACAACAATACTGAGAGGAACAAAGAAATGCTCCTGACTGTATCTAAAAAGTTGTAGGTCGTGCGTTGCCTAGTCTGCGATACTTGAGATGGCAAGTGCATTCGACCCTAAAGGGGAAGCAGGTGCAGCGGAGATCTAGAGGTACGCGCTTCAGCGAAGCGCGAGAAAGCGCAGGTGCGCGCAAGGTACGAAGGCGCAGGAACGCGCGCGCGTATTAGCGCGAAGCGCGGGAAAGCGCGCGTGTGTAAGCGGAAATAAGAGAGACTAAACTTATGTGAAGATATAAGCAAGATAAAGGATGTGAGATGTGTTGTGCTAATGAATAGATTTCTACTGCGACTTTCTAAGTAGTAAGTACTAGGTAAAGTTGGGTGAAAAGTAAGGTAAATAATAGTATGTACTGCTGGCGCTTATATAGCGCGCCTAAGCGCGCTCATGCGGAGCCGAAGCGCTACCGAGTAGGTATGTAAAAATATATATGAGTGAGAAACTATGATAAAAATAAAGGTGGAACTATGCTAATAAAGGAAATGGAAATATACGCACTAGGGAGCTTGGTGGACAGTGGATGGATGCATCTGGATGGCTGGCGCTATAGGGCGCGCAAGCGCGGGAACGCGCGCGTGCGTATACATCGTGAAGCGCGGGAATGGTGCGCGCATGGCGCGCGTTGCGCGGGAAAGCTGCGCGTCATATAGGAATCACTGTGGATGGTACACAGAGTGATGCTGCGAGTTGGTGCTGTATACTCCCTAGTGTAAAGCGCCATATCACACTATGAGATGCACGAGTCTCTACACCGCGAGCAATACCAAGGCTGATGTTAGCTTTGTGAAGCCTCTGAGCAGTACGCTTATCCATACTACTATAGAGCTCTTGTTCGATCATCACACGGCGTAGGCGACTTCGGATAAGTCGAGACTCTGCCCGACGCTCTGATTGTCTCGCACTGATAAGGCGAATAGTGATATCGCTATCATAGCGTGTCTCCCAGAATGGGGGAAGACACAAGGTGTCCATCTATCAATCTTCATTACTTATCGCACAACGATATGCAGAATTATCGCTCACGGGTGGCAGCTCTTGCAAAACCGCTTCATGGGATGTGGGTGGAGAAGGGTATGCCTCTTGAGGCTGTTGTGAGACATTGTTACGCCAGGCCAAAAAGTTGGTCTTTTCATGGCCGAGTACCAGGTTCGAGGCTGACAAATTAGCGCATGAGGCGCCTGGATACTCATGTCTCATGGGGGAGAGAGGTATAGGAGAAGGATTGATTGTGGAGGTCATTGTCGATGAAAGCCGTTCGGTGAGTTTTGTCTCCTCTTATCCTTCAAGTTCAAAGTACTTGGGAAGTTGACGGATCTTTCCACCAGATGACACGCACTACTTCAAACTATCACGCTGCCATATTAGGTAGTGGGACTTCGTGCACCCCTGGGGGTACTGGTTTTGTTTTCCTTTTTTCAAAAAAAAGGAAATTACTGAAAGTCGCAAACGCGATTACATCTTGAACAGCGATCAGGAGCCGCCGACTCAGTTGTTATTTGAGCACGAACCAATCCTTACTAATACTAGTGGAGAAGCGACTCAATTTGAGTCAGTCTCGCGGCCACTGAACCGAATTTGTCTGAACTGAAAATTTTCGCTTTGGTACCGACCTTCTAATACATCATGATAACACCCCGAACCTTCAAATTGCTGAAGCCGTTTCCCAGGAACTGATCAACGTGTTACTGTTGTCTGCGGGTGTTGTCTAGCAGCGGGACCAAATATGAGTAACGGGTTTATCCCTACGATAACCTCACATTGATGCGATTTTTGAAACCAAATGAACGACAAGTAAAGAACGAGGTGCACGGTGTCCTGCAGTGACCGGTAGGTGATATGGACCACATGATTCCCTCATGTTACACAGGACTTGTGCTTCTGCAAAGATAAGTATGCGGACTTCACGAACATGATCTCGCCAAATTAAATGCGTCCGCGAACATGAATGCGCTACCTGCCAGTAAATTAAATAAGTCCGCGAACATGAATCGACAGAAACCGGGCAGCTGCAGCGTTGAATTAGTCAGCGAACATGTACTCCAAAACGGGAGTCGTCACTCAGTTGTAAGTGCTTACTTAATGCAATTCAATAGTAATAGGTAACGCTCTAACTCCTAAGTTCTAGAATCTAACTCGCAGTGTTTACATCATAGTAGAACAGACCTAAGATCTCAGGCTCATCGAGGTAAGACGGTCTTGATGATAAGCCATCGATAAACTGAAATGAGAAATATAGGCGAAAATTTCTTAATAATGCGATGTGTTAAAAATGGCCAACCCCCACTCGCTCATCCGAGTCGTCTGTCCTTAGTTGACTCAGAATTTACCCCACAGCTATCCTTCGAGAATGTCATTTCGTGTTGGATATATATACAATCCTGCAACGACTACACACGGTCCAGTCATACTTGACTGGGTTAGTTGCTTCGTGAGTTTTCAGTTTTTGACATGTTTCGAGCCTGTCTTTGATCATATTTTATTCTAGCAATTTACTGTCGACTCTGGCACGTTCCTAAAAGTCGCCTACGTATTGCCCGTATCATATGCGCAGACGTTGGGCTCAGAGGCCATTTACGAATCCGTTTACATGGTAAGTTACATCCGAACGATCTACAAGACCACTAAATTCTTCTGGTGCAGGAACTTCGTCAAGGTGAACAATCAGAGGGACTAACTCAATTTATTATCCCGACTGGCTGGATAAGGGTCTGCATGTATACTGATCGTGACCTCGTTACAAGGCCTGTATTACAGGTACGTACATCATCTAATGTGTAGCAGGCAAACTAACATCTTGACAGAAGGTTGCAGAGGCTGAGACAGAAGGATCCCTTTTCCGATCAGATGGTCCTTCGTTTGACGGCGCTTCGTTTGAAGACAGCGACTTCTTATCCGCATTCAACGATTGGATCGACACCTCCTCAGTTCCTGCCGTAGGTGGCACTACATCTCCAGTCTCTTCTGGGGTGGAGCTACTTTCCCAAGTTCCTGATGACGAAGGTGTCCCGTCGTCAAATGGTCCAGGTTCCATGTTCACCACATTCCTTCTGACACCACTTTTCAACGTCACTGCTAGCGGTCAAAGTTTGCCTGGAGCCTCAAGCTTGCAGCGTTATGTGTTATGCACCCCAGCCGATTTTAAGGCTGGGATCATTTATGATTGCGACTTCCTCGCGGCTCACTTTCCTTTTGCACATGTATGCATACAGGATGCCAAGGCTCTGGCTAAGAATTATCTCACCATTTGTGGCATGGACATGGATTCATTCGCCGCGTATTGCACTCAGGCTATCGAAGAAATGTTGACCGTGGCAAACAGTGCCGGTCAACCAGCGGAGTCAGGTAGGAAAGAATACTATTGATGTCTACCCGGATCGGCTTACCTTGTGCTGGCAGGTTTTCGATGCTGCATAACCCAAAAGACCAAAGATTTAAATCTATACAGTCGGGACGCAATCAAAATAGTGCGTCTTGAATCTAGCTGTATTCAAATGTTCTGATACAGACCTAATATAGGTATCCTCGGAGTACGACAGATTCAAGAAGGCCTTGAAGGACAACTCGCACCCTCTCGTCAACTGCAAGAAAAAACTTCGATTGGATGGTTTTGCCTTGAATACCAAGCGTCCCCATGAGATCATTCCCTACATCACTAGCATCACTGGCTTAACAGCTTGGAACGGCACCGTAACCTCATTAGAATTCACCAGATCTCCGGACGGGGTAGTGTTATTTTCTTGTCAGAATTGATGTCTAATATCGCTAATCTCGCACCCCACAGAATCTATATCGACGCAAGACAATTCTAATCTTACTGGCATATCGGATCTTGAAGGTGGTTCATCAGCACAAATCCAACCGGTCCCTGCTGGAACTATTCCCTCATCAGTATGAAAGCCTTCCGGAGCACTCTATCGCACTAGTGTGCGCCATGGTACGTAATGCCTCCGATTTTGTGTTTTGAGTCTCATCCTCTTATGTAGTACGTGATACGGTTCAGGCGGTATTTCCTGGACATGAAATTCACAAAATATCTTCTTCCCATTTTGGAAAGGGAGGCATGCCACCAGTTGGTTCTCCTCAGGAGGGCCCGTGAGGGCACCAGTGATGCAGCTGTTGCACTGAATCGGTGGATCAATACGCGTCATGGAGACGTGGCTGGGAACAGGACCTGTTGAGTGAATTTTATCAAGTTTTTCGCTGACTCACTGGTCCCGTGTGCGCAGGGTATCAGTACTGAGGTTGTCACATGAAAGCCGGGGAGCACGATTCTCCACCAGTGCACCTGCCGTGTGAAGGTTTCAG